AAACCACATATATGCATGGAATGTGGAAAGAGCTTTAGTGACAGTAGCGCCCTTAGGTTACATCAAAGGACTCACACTGGGGAGAAACCACATAAATGCATGGAATGTGGAAAGAGCTTCAGTCAGAGTGGTCACCTAAGGTTACATCAAAGGACTCACACTGGGGAGAAACCACATAAATGCATGGAATGTGGAAAGAGCTTCAGTCAGAGTGCTGACCTTAGGTTACATCAAAGAACTCACACTGGGGAGAAACCACATATATGCATGGAATGTGGAAAGAGCTTTAGTCACAGTAGCTCCCTTAGGTTACATCAAAGGACTCACACTGGGGAGAAACCACATAAATGCATGGAATGTGGAAAGAGCTTTAGTCACAGTAGCTCCCTTAGGTTACATCAAAGGACTCACACTGGGGAGAAACCACATAAATGCATGGAATGTGGAAAGAGCTTTAGTCACAGTAGCTCCCTTAGGTTACATCAAAGGACTCACACTGGGGAGAAACCACATAAATGCATGGAATGTGGAAAGAGCTTTAGTCACAGTAGCTCCCTTAGGTTACATCAAAGGACTCACACTGGGGAGAAACCACATAAATGCATGGAATGTGGAAAGAGCTTTAGTGACAGTGGTGTCCTTAAATTACATCAAAGGACTCACACCAGGCCACTTGTGATGTGTTTTACTTCTGTCCTTATTTAACAGACAGATAGCACAAAATAGACGAACTTTTTGCTTAAAAAATGAGAATAAGCATATATTGTTGTAACGGAACCCAAAGTATGACATCATTCCTGCCGGTCAAACAAAAAGCTGTAAGATGTTTCTCTTGTGGAGAACTAGGCCACTTTAAATCACAATGTGTTAAAACCAGAGATTTTGGGCAACAAAAAGGGAATTTAGAAGTGCCTAAGAAAGTGTATTGCGTACAGCAGAAAGAGGCACCTACAGGGGCAGCTGAAGCAGGCGCCATGGCAACCACAGTTAGTGGCAGAGAAGAGAGCTTAGAGCAACAAGAACAACTCCCAGTAGCTCAAATTCTCCATTGTTACTTGGTTGGAGAAAATTTGGATCCTATGAAATATTCTGGGGATACTATTTATATAAATGAGACTAAATATCAAGCTCTAAAAGACTCGTGCTCTCTAGTGACATTATGCCATCCAGAAATAATCCCTTCAGAATTTATA